ACTAAAATCAACAGTAAATGATGAACTGTTAAAAGTCACTGAAGTGAAACCCGGTGAGGATGTTGGAGGTGGGGGGGCTGTAACACCTCCTACTGGTCAGAGGCTGTAACTGCAGGGTACAAATATTTAATTTAAAAAAAAGAAATTAACATTTGAGACTTGGCTTATATCTTTTTATTTTACTGTTATTTTCGATAATGAATTTAATTTCAGAACATTCAGTTATTTTCTGTGGAGCCTAATTAATAAAGTGACTGAAGTCTCAAAAATACAATCTGATAATTGACCTTTCGTGCTAAAACGATATATAGAGAACTTCCCTTCTGTTTGTGCTTCTGCTCAAGATGATGATTTATTTGCTCCAAAACTAAAATTGTTGCCTGTTGTCATATAAAACTGTTCCAATATTTTATATAGTATTTAAAGTGAACAAAATGTTGTGCTGTGTTAAATACGACAGAGTTAAAGGGGAGTTCCTCTCAGTCTGAGTGACTTCCTGTCTCTGTCATGACGTCACGCTCAAGTGATCGGATGTAGGAAAATAAATACAACAAAAATCTGCTGTGGCCTGTTTTCAGAAAGAAGACATTTATTGACTAAATGTTTTAATAATAGACATTATGATTGTGAGTTTTTTCACAATAAAAGTATCGAGACAAATCAGCATGTTTACAACTAAAAATCATCAAATTAAAATCGAGCAACGTGATTGGACAGAAAAAGAAGAAACAGGAAACATCTTCAAACATTCTAAAAGAATCAAAGACTGAACCAAACGTTTCCACAGAAGCATTCAGAGAATAAATCCACTTCCTGTCGGACCACGCACAGAGATCCTGACGAGTCAGATGTTGGCGGTTTGAACTGGGGGACGTCCTCGTGTTGATGATCAGACGTGTGGTTGAATCGTGGTCGGCGTGTTTCTACAGCTGCTTCAGCAGCAGCCCGTAGGGACGGATGGACTCCTGCACGATGGCAGTCGTCTGGACGGGGTTCGACCCTTCGGGGACGTAAACCAACCAGACGTCTTCTCTCTGACACTTCTTCCTCTTCTCCGGGTTGATGCGGTTCTGAAGAACCACCTTGTACGTCTTCCCGTCCACTTTGGACTTGAACACCTTGCAGTATTTCTCTGCCATCTTGATGTCTGGCGTGGAGTACGCTCCCCTGCCCTTGGTGTCACCGGTGGTCAGAGAGGCTGCGGCGGCGTCCAGAAACCCGGGCTCGTTCTCCGGGATCCCGTCGTGGGTCAGGATGATGCCGAGGGAGCCGTCCATGTTGTGTGCGTGGTAAGAGACGGGCCACGCGTCCTTACCGGTCCCAAGCCAGCGGTCATTGCCGTCGTACTTCCTGCTGACTCGTAGGGCGACGCGGCTCCACCCACAGGGACGAACGTACGGCTCGTTACCTCGGAGGAACACGGTGTCGCCATCCTGGAGGTCAACAAAGGTCAACAGAGGTCAACAGAGGTCAACAGAGGTCAACTGAGGTCAACTGAAACTTGAAGATCAAACATTAAACT